TTTTATGGGTCAACTGGGGCTGGGGGTAGGGACTGGTACAGGGGGATCAGGTAGGGAGGATGAGGGTTTACAGGGAAGAGACAGCTAGAATTGAGGGGTGGTATGGAAAATTGTGCAGTGGAAACTTCCCAAAATTTATGAAGGTGATCTTAATGAAGTCTCCAAACAATGAAGGAGACTGAGTCCCAGCTTGCCATCTCTTGTCATCCAATGAAGCATTCAGTATCATGATTGGGTTATATCTAATTGAGTTGTTGGCCAAAAGGGTCCCATGGGAATCCCCAAACAACTCAGGCTGTTGACAAGACAATAGGTTGCTTTCCACAAACTGACACGAAGGCCCTATTCCTAAAGGCAACACCCACTTAACTCTCTGAACATGGAGAGGGCGAGCTGGTGCCTACATAGAACCTTTACCCCTATGTTCTAGTGCCTTTGGTATGGTAGTGGTATGGGAAGCTACTTTTCAGGCTACCACAAGAGGAACCTATACATCAACCCAGACACAAAACCTTTGATCTACAGTGCTGTCCCCCCTGCAAGATATGCTAGTTCAATGGTGGCACAAAGCTTGTGTGAGTAACTAACCAATATCTGATTTGACTTAAAGCCCACTCCACATAATGGAACCCATACCTGCTTGAGTGACCAAGAACCAGAGACTAGGTATCCCAGAGATCTAGGGTAAAACCAAATACTACTGATATTTCAAAAGAAGGTAGTGATGAAATGACTCCTAAGGATATTCTGCTATACTCAAAGATCAGTGCCTTATTTGCTACTCCAACATATGGGAATAAATACAGAGAGCACATGCGCGCACATGTGTGCGCACGTGCACACGCGCACACACACACACACAGAGTGAGAGAGAGAGAGAGAGAGAGAGAGAGAGAGAGAGAGAGAGAGAGAGAGAGAGAGAGAGCTTGAAATACTCAGTCCTAAATAGGATGTCTTCATCAAATCCCTCCCTTCAGGGCTCTGAGAACCTCACTGAAGAGGCGATAGGAGAGGATGGCAGGCACCAGCAGAACAAAGCCCTCTAAACCAATTCGAGCAAAGCTCATATGAACTCACAGAGACTGAGGTGGCATGCACAGGGTCTATACAAGTCTGCACCAGGTCCTTTGTGTATGTTATGGCTTCCAGATTAGTGTTTTTATGGGATTTCTGAGTGTGTGTGAACAAGTGGGTCTCAGACTCTTGTGCCTTTTCTTAGGTTCTTTTCCTTTGTTGGTTTGCCTTGCCCAACTTGTATATGATGACTTTTGTTTTATTATGTTTATATTGTTATGTTCAGTTGTTATCTCGTCAAAGCTTATTCTTTTCTAGTGAAAGGGAATGGATTTGTTTGGGTTAGGGGAGGAGAAATAGGGAGGAAATAGGATGAGTAGAGGGAGGGGAACTGTAATCAGGATATACTGTATGAAAAAAGAATCTATTTTCATTAAAAAGGGAAAAAGAAATCAATAAACTGGAATAAAACTTTAAAATGCTACAGAGAAAAATAGGTGATAGTTAATGCCAAAAATAAGGTGATTTAATGATTGCTGTTTCACAATTAATACTGAACATTTTGGTTGCCAAGGCAACAGAAATATAACTGGTAAAGTAATTTTCTTTTGTGTTCAAAGAAGGTAATCTAGCTCATTTGGGAGGATGGGCTTCAGGGACAGGACTGCTTGCCAGCCTTTCTGTCCTGCATGTTGACTCCTGTCTGTATACTTGATAGAACATTCAGATATAGAAGTACTGATGGGGAGGCCTTGAAGAACAGCCATTGGTGACCTTAATGACATATCACTGTTTAGACGTAAATTTAGGTTTATTCCTCTGGGGAGAGATAGTTCTAGTTCACTTCTTTGCTTTATTCCTTCTCTATGTTGACTAAACCACTCTTCCTCTGTCACATCTGTGTTCTTCTTTGTCCCTGTATGGTCTAAGACAGTAGCTACTAGTAGCCATTAAAATTAAAGTTCTAAGAATATATTTGTTTTTAAGAGTGAAGGAAGGAAGCTAGGAATGGTGGCACAGCCTTTCACCCCATCATTCCAGAGGCAGAGACAGGTGGACCTCTGTGTGTTTAAGGCCAGCCTGGTCTACATAGTAAGTTCTAGGACATCCAGAGCTACATAGTGACATTCTGTCCCAAGAAACAGAGAGAGAAAGAGAGAGAGAGAGAGAGAGAGAGAGAGAGAGAGAGAGAGAGAGAGAGAGAATGAAGGAGACAACAATCCTATTTTCTAATTCCTAATTGTCTGTAATGACACATTGGGGATGACAGAAAAATGACATGTATCATCTGCCTCCTTTTTTGTTTTTTGTTTTTTGTGGGTTTTGTTGTTGTTGTTGGTGGTGGTGGTGATGGTTATATAAGTAAAAGGGGGAAAAGTACTTAATCTAGTCGGGCTTATACTGAAAAGTAGAGAAATTTGATTCACTGCAGTGTTACACATTATGAGTAATATTGTATAATTGTAGCTACACATAATAAGAGCTAGTATATTCTTTTTTTTTTTTTTTCGAGACAGTGTTTCTCTGTGGCTTTGGAGGCTGCTCTGGAACTCACTCTGTAGACCAGGCAGGTCTTGAACTCACAGAGATCCACCTGTCTCTGCCTCTGGAATGATGGGGTTCTAAAAACATTTGCTATGACACAGATTTCAGGGCTGTTCTTCTAGAGCACCCAAATTCAGTTTACAGCACCAAAGTTGAGCAGCTCACATTTGCCTATAACTCCAGCTCCAGTGGTTGTGACACCTTCTCATTGTGTCTGTAGGCACTTACACACATGGCACACACCACACACACACACACACACACACACACACACACACACACACACTCACACACACATGTAATAATAATAATAATAATAAATCTTTAAAATTGCTAAAACATACTTTGTTTTGAAACATTTTCAGATGCCCCTTAGAGTGACTGATATATACTCTCAGACCATATTTATGGAACTGAGTTTCACAGACTGATTGTAGCCCCATCTTTGCATGATCCAGAAGCACTATACTGTATTTTTTAAATTTAAAATGTTAGAAAGTCATGCCAGGCCTCTTATTGAATATAGTATCTCTTGGGTGTTTATGCTCACATCTTTAGTAACTGTATGCTAGGACTTTATCAGATCTGTCAACTCCTTTTAGTGAAGAGACTGTATTCACTTGTTTATTAGTTTCTTTTTTAAAATACAGAGAAACCTGTTAAAGTACTACACTGATTTTCATGTATCCAATAGTGGTATCCTATGATTCCATTTCCCCCATAGTTTTAGGGACCAGCCCAGGATTCCACACAGCACTCAACTGACATGTCTTCTTGATCTTACCTAATCTTAGAAACCTTTATTTATTTATTTTTTTTACGAGACAGGGTTTTCTGTATTGTTTTGGAGGCTGTTGTTCTAGCCTGGCCTCGAACTCACAGAGATCCGCCTGCCTCTGCCTCCCGAGTGCTGGGATTAAAGGCGTGCGCCACCACCGCCCGGCAGAAACCTTTATTTTTTTCATAAACTTCATACTTAGGATTCTGGATAACTTTTAGAAATGTTCTTCTAGTCTTACAAGAGCTGACTTCTATACTATTGACAAGAATGCTACTGAAGTAAGGCTGTGACACATGGTACCTGTGTCTCATTGCTGCTGAGTTTTTGTAAGCTAATTTGGTTACTTAGATATGGTGGTATCTCCCAGGTTTCTTCACTGTTTATTTCCCAGGGAGTGAATACTTGAATAGAAGATTCTTTAAGATTGTGCAAGTAGCCGGCACTTGGGAGGCAGACCCAAACAGATCATTGTGAGTTCAAGGCCCACTTGGTGTGTCTTAAAAGAAAAGCAAACAAACAAAAAAACAAAACCCTAACCACAGCAAAAGATTGTGCAAATACCCTGTTTCTTGCTATACTTTTGTTCATGAAGATTAGGCTATGTGGATGATTTTTTCCCCCTGTAATAGTTATTTCCTGGTGTTTTCATAAAATAATTCATTTCTACCACATTTTATGTTAGAATTCTAATGTATTGAATGCTACTTAGTAAAAATTCTGTTTTCAAAATTATTCAGGTTGGTCTTTTATTTCCCACCCCTTTCTCAGTGGTTGAACTGATTAATTCATTTGTTCTTGTTTGTATTCAATGTGCATTTATTTTTAGTGATATTTATTTGGGGTGAATATGAAATATTATTTTGATTTTAAGTGTCAGAGTGACATGAAAAAACACACTCAAAACTAAGTATCACTTTCCCTACCTCTTCTATCAGATTTCATTCTCATTCTTTCCATACAATTCTGCTATTCTCTGTTAACTTGATTTATTATTTCTGTAACTGAATTTGTACAAAATAAGCAAACATTTATTATAAGAGATGACATTAAATGTCTTCTTGTGGTACTGGGAAATTTGAAAGCTGATTGGTGTATTTTCTTTTCTCTTAAGGATATTAGTTATAATTGGCCTGGTATTATTGCCAGTGTGCTAAAGAACTGATGCAATTATATTTTCTTTCTTGGAAAATATTTGTGGATGTTTTCTAGAATAAAATCAACAATATAATATTTGGTGGTTTCATTAAAACTGTGTTGTAGAATGTGTCTGAAGAATGTAACATAAAGCACCTAGCAATGTTTTTAAGTTTTCTTTGACTAGTATATTTTTACAAAATATTTAAACTTTTTCTTTACCCTTATGGCTTCACATGAAGAGTTTGGAGTTGTAACAGTGCTTTAACATGTACTTAGTGCAAATTAGGGCCTGAGTTCAATCCCCAGCATTCCCCAGACAGGGTATTAGTTACTTCAAGCACTAGAAGTAACAGACAGTTGCACGTTTGTGTGTGTATATTTATTTTTTTATTTTTTGCATCTACTAGTATTTCAGAGTAGTTTTTCTTGTACATAAAACCAAATAAAACATCTGCTTAAGTTTGTTAAACAATTTTTAGGTGTTTTTCATTGTGTACTCTTTCTCTTTCCAAATTCTTTGCAGGCATTTGGACAGTCCTTCTCTATCCACCGTAAAGTGGCTGAGGATGGAGAGACTCGGGAGGAAACACTTCTACAGGAGTCTGCATCCAAGGAAGCTTACTATCTAAACAAGATCTTGGAGATGCAGAATGAACTGAAGCAGAGCCGGGCTGTGGTCACAAATGTCCAGGCAGAAAATGAGAGGCTCATAGCTGTTGTACAGGAACTGAAGGAGGTAAACAAGCCAATTCATCGTTCAGGATCTGGTTGTCTTTAAAAATTCCACCACAGAGAAATTCCACTAGGTGTTTTTAATCCAATTAGGTTAACAATCAAAATTAACCATCATAGATAATGATAAGCAAAGTTTGGCAAGTCCTTAGTTTGACAGATGCTGTGTGAATGTAACAATTTAATTAATATTATCATATTTATTCAATAAAATGATTAATCTTATTTCCATAGTATTGCTGGTACTGGCAAAGATGTATATATACTTAGGTGTTGTATGTGAGATGTGACTTTATATATACATGCATGTGTGCTGAAAATCTCATTTATATATGATAATTCTAGGGTAGCATAGTGGGAAAATTGTTGAATTAAGTATTAGGAAAACAGTATTCTGGTCTCAACTCTTCTACTAGTTTTAGTATTATATTCATGGTATGTGTAAGATTTTTTTAAAAAGTTATATTGCTATACTCCTGGTCCATAATAAACAAGTGCTGTTATCATTAGTAGCTTTGTGCATCCTTCATAAAATATTGTTGAAGCTATTATCATTATAGTGGTCTGTATTCTTACATTAAAAAGTATTAGCTAGCCAGATGTGATGGTGTGCCTCCATGATAGCTGTGTCTAGCCTGGGCTATGTTGCAAGACTTTGCCTCAAACACAAACCCAAATAAAACATTACAAATAAATAAAAAGTCAAGAGAATAAGAAAAATATTAGATATATATCTTCAGTTTGTCATCTTGAAATCCTTTTGGTTGTGATTTAAAGTAGACAGAAGGAATCAACAGTATGTTTCCATTTCTGCTTTGGTCTTTAAGAAGCCTTTGTCTTATGCTTAACTGTAAAAAATGACCTGAGATTCCTTTTACATTTTAAATAAGTTTTAATTTTTATTGATATTTAACATTTGTTTATGTTGTTGCATACTAAATTAACCCCAACTCTACATTGCTTAAACTATAAGATTAGATAATGAAACTGCAGGGCTGGTAAGATGTCTCAGTGTGTAAAAGTGCTTACTGCACAGGCCTGACAACCTAAGTTCAGTCTCTGGGACCATGTGAAGATAGGAGAGAACTGGCTAAAAAGTTGTCCTCTGACCTCTGCATGAGTGTCGCAGCTTCTCTAGGCTACCTCTTCAAACTCTCCCACATTTCTTTCACAAACCATTTCCACTTCTGACCACATGGTCTGATTTAGCACAACAACAGCCCCACTACTTTGTACTAATTTCCTGTATTAGTTACTTGTCTTGTTGCTGTAGCAAAATACTTGTCAAAGTCAATTTAAGGAAGGGAGGCTTTATTTTGGCTCAGAGCTTGAAGGTTCAGTCCATCATGAGCATGTGCCTGGCCACATTGTATCTATAGTAAGGAAGGAGGGGGTCTGGTGTTATTGACTTGTGAATCCTGTTACCCACACTCAGGGTGGTCTTTCCACTTTAGTTTAATTTCTGTGGAAATGCCTTCTCTGTAACATCATGATTTTTTTTTCTCCTAAGATACTCAGAATTCTTATAAGTTGACATTCAAGATGAACCATTACAATACCATGGCTGTTATGATCTGAATGTCTCCCTCAAATTCATGTTAAAACTTAATCCTTGTATTAAGAGGAGGGTCCTTGAAGAGATGAAGTTTTGAGTAAAAAGAGCTCAAAAATGGGATAAAGGGAACTTGATGAGACTTTTTAATCTCCTTATCCATATTAAAGCACCTTCCCTTCCTTCTAAACAACACAGCAAGAAGGTTGTCTCTCGAGCTGGAGAAATAACTTCATGGTCAAGAGCACACATCAGCCTTGGAGATGACCCACGTTTGATCCCCAGCACCCATTTCAGGCGGCTTGCAAATGTCTCCAACTCCAAATCCAACCCTCTCTGAGGGCATCCGTTCTCACATGTACATATCAATCCTTATATAAACCCTGTGTCTGTTCTACTTGTGGCTGTTCCTTCTCTGTCACTCTGACAGAGGAGGGCATCTACTCTCCTAGATTCTTCCCTCCCAGTAAACCCTTTGGATGAGCTTTGGGTGAAGACCTTCTTTTGCAGCAGAGCAGAGCCAGCAAGGCTGTAACATTTCTGCTGGGGAAACCTTCCCCTGGCAGAGCGGAGTTGTTACACTCCGCTCTCCCCTCTCTCAGGAGCAGAGCTGAACTTAGCAACTTCGTCTGGGAAACCCTCTCCTGCCAGAGCAAAACTGCTGGAGCAAACATCCCCAGCTAGAAGACCCTCTCCTGCTGTAGCAGAGCCAAAACACTAGGGACGCCTTTCCCTGAAGCAGGGCTGTAAGCTGCTATGCTTACTGCAGCCTGTGGTAGTCCTTGGCTCCCGAGCTTCAGGATACCTTTCCATCTGAGCTGTGTAACACTTTGTATTCTGTGACTCCCGAGTGCCAGAATACCTGCCCCATCCAATCCATCCAAAATGCCTACAATAATAACTAAATTTGTAACTTGTTGTGACATTATTATAATTTTAATAGGATATGACAGAGTTGAATTTAAAATGCTGCCACATTAAAATTTCATTTCCCCTTCTCTAGAATATATAATTACGTTTCATAATATATCAGTGAGTCAGCTGCCAAAAATCTATTATATCTACATCTGTTCCAATGCAGGGAGTCTATACCCATAGATCCATAGGTTTAGAAGGCATCTTAGTGATTATTTGGTAATGACTCTCTCCAAGACAGTAATTCTTTGACATCCCCAAAGGACGCATCTTTATCAGATACTTATAGCATTCTGAAGAATATATAATAAATTAACAAATTCTTTTCAAGTAAAAGAGTATGTTTTATTTGTTACTTATTTTGCTATTTACAGCTTCAGAACAGTGCTTGACAAAACAGATTATTTTAGAAATAATTTTATTGAATCATATAAAATTAAATTAAAATAACATGTTTTCAAAGTTGACCATCCCTGGACTCAAATATCTGCTGTGCTGCTTACCAACAATGTAATCTGGACAAGTTACATTTGTTTCCTTTGTTAGTCAGCTTTTCATTGTTTTAATAAATACTTGACATAGTCAATTTATAAAGATAAAAGATTTATTTTAGCTCACAGTTTTGGGGATTTCAGTCCATGATCAAGTGATCCTGCTGCTTTTGGGTAAGACAGCACATTATGGCAGAGAATGTATGACAGAACAAACTAGAATCTTTATTTAAAAAAAGAACAAAAGAGGAAGAGGCTGGGACACCACTGTAATTCAAGGACAGGTCTCCCAAACTGGAAACATCTCACAGTACCCTACTTCTTAAAGTTTTGGCTGCCTCCCAAAGTGCCAAGCTATAGACCAAGTCTAGACACATGGGTCACAGTATTGAGTAAGCTTCCTTATTTTCAGCATGGAGATGATAATATTAACAAATAAGCCCTGTTTAAATGCCTGGTACAAAAAAGTTCTGAAAGTAGTTCTCATTTTATATATCTTGCCTCCCTCCCAAGGCTCCCTTGCTAGTGTTTGGCCACTCTAATTGTTACTCTGTGATTAAATGATCAATGGATTCCCTGTGTTTTACCAGCTGTATTTCTAGCTTCTGAGTCTAAAGAGAATAACTTATTTAGTTTCCTCTTTGTCTAGGCAGGTTTAGCCTATTCCCAGGAGCTTTAATTCTTGGACAAAATTGTCTTGCCATCTCCTTCTCAGAATGAGTATATCTAGAGCCATTGGAACTCACCTACATGATGTGGTCTTAGGTCAGCACCCTGGCCATTCTTTTTCGAATTGATTGGTGACATCTGTTTACAATGTGTTAAAAAAAGAAGTTTACACAGACTATATTTACCTTTGTTGGAGATCCTTAAAAATACAAACCATTGGACCTATGAATTCTCCTTATATGTTCAACTCAGTTTAATTCTTTGGTTTCAATTTTTCATTTGTTTGTTCATTCAGTATCTCTAATGCCTGTAGTAAGCTAGGCAGATACCTTAAAAAACAAATAATCTGTCCTCTTTGACTGTTGTAATGCAAGTTCTAATAGGTCTTAATAAGAGCCTGGAGTCAGATATAGGGGTAAAAGCTGAAAGATCAAGGGGTGAGGGAGAAAGCCACAGCCACACCTTACCTTGCTAACTTCCCAACTGACAAGAGAGTGAGTTCCTGTTTCTTCCTGCCTGTATTCCTTTTTCTGTCTAGCCATCTCACCTCCTGTCCTTGCCCAGCCATCTCACTCCTTGTCTGTTAGCTAGTGGCAAGTTCTACCCTTTGATCTTCAGACACATTTTATTTGTACAAACAAGATATCACCACAGACTACATTTTTTTTCTTTTCAAGAAGGTCACAAAAGTGGAATCATTTAGTTTGTACATTTTGAGATTGAATCCTTTTTCTTATCATAATGCCTTTGAGATTCATCTAAGTAGTTGTATATATCAACATCAAGTTTGTTCCTTTTAATAATGGCATTATTCTATTATATTGACATATTGCAGTTTGTTTAACTGATTATCCTATTTGAGAGCTTTTTGTTCCTCCAGATTTTGGTGGCTATGAATAGAGCTACTGTACATATTCATGTACATTTATATTTTTCTGTGAACATGTATGATATCTAATCTTAATTGTCAGCTTGATCTCTATAGTTGATTGGGCATATGAGCACACATATAGCAGATTATCTTGACTGAGTTCATTGAGATGAGAAGGCTCATCCATAAGGGTAGCATCGTTTTTTAGATGGGAAGTCTGCTGTATAAAAAGAAGAAAATGAGCTGAACACAAGGATTCATCTCTGCTTCCTGATTGTGGGTGTGATGTGACTAGCTGCTTCAAGCTGCTGACACATTGATGGATTGTACCCTTGAACTATAAGTAAAAATGAACTTTTCTTCCCTTATGTCCCTTTTATAAGGGTATTTTGTCACAGCAGTAGGAAAAGAAAAGAAGTCAGTACATGGTTTTATTTCTCTTAGGAAAGTAAGATATCATCAGAGTAATGGTGATTCCATTTTATATTACTATTATAGATTTATAA